GACTCACGGGATGAGCTTCCACTGATTCCAAACATCAATCTTCTCGAGTGAATCCCAACATCTGCAAGAGAAGAACAGTCTCATGAACACTTCACAAAACAGGCAGAATTTGATATCATAAAACATAACTAATTACCACTTGGAACAGCCACAACAGTGGATGCAAACGCAATAGAAAAGCAAACTATGACAACACGCAACCTCTCCATTGCTCAATAAGCACTCCAAATGAATTAATCTCGATGCGGCATTTATACAAACACTTAGCGGGTGCGTAAACCAAAATGAAAAGCATGGGAGGAAAGCAGAGGCACCCATGAAAGAATAAAGAATCACTCATTCAACAGTACACTCACTCAATTCAGTGAGTGAGAGTGAGATGTAATTCAATGTAGACGACATGAAAGTGCAGAACTTTGCCGACCTGTAACAAAATCGGTATAGATTCTTGCTTGACAGAGGAGGAAGATGAAGAAATTGGAGATTTGGATACCTTTTTTGTTGCTTGCTTTCTACTCAAAGAGGATTGCCGTCTCTATCTGGATCAGTGATTCGCGCTTTTCCCAAGTTCGCATTGCTGAATTTTTTTTCCGCCTTGAATCAGTTCCTTTAGAATGGTGCTGTTGCTTCTCTTTTAAGTCGCTCAACTAGAGGTTTTGTTTGTTGAAGCTTCAATTTTTAAATTTCAATTTAATGATTTTTTAAAATTTTAAATTAAATGTTTTATTTTAGAATATTCCTCAAACATGTCATATGTGTTTCTTTGTCCACTATGGTTATGTTTGTTCCATATCCCTTTTACTTGTTTTTCATGTATAGTTAAGTATTTACTATTCATGTCATATCAATACCAGTGTATATGATTGTTTACCAAAATCACGTCTACACCGACCATAACTAAAATGCTTCAAAATGTACTTTAGGAGATGAAGTGCTATTGTGATACCAGAGGTGGTCGACTATGGATTTGACTTTTTGCCTCGAGTGTCTTTACTTTATTTGATCCTTAATTTCTCGATCTTTTTAGTCAGTTCGTTGTAGTGGTCCAATTTCTATTATGATATTGGCAGTGTTAAGCCTAATTTGAGAGTAATCTTTTGGATTTTAGTTGTCTATTTTTTAAGACATTTTGTGATATTCTCTTTTGAACATCAATTCTTTAGGAGTCCTTAGACATTTCGAGATAGGCCTCAAATTAGTCCTATGATTGCTATTAGACCCCGAGCGGATTATTCTAGTCTTCCAAAGATCTCCTTTGAATTCTATATTTTAGGAGAAATTCTATGGCTCAAAGGTGATTCTTGGACTATCCCTAAAATTGTTCGTTTTTCTATGTTGCAAGATTATCCTTAAAACGTCTCTTACACAGAGCTTTCCACACCCTTATAAAAGTTGTTTCGTTCTCCTCCCCAACCGATGTGAGATATCACAATCAACCCTCTTCAGGGCCTAGCGTTCTCGCTGACACTCGTTTCTTTCTCCAATCAATGTGGGATGGACCCCTTCCAAATCTTCCTCCCTTTGGGGGCTAGTATCTTTATTGGCACACCGCCTCGTGTCTACCCCTTCAGAGAAAGACTTTCTCGTTGGCACATCACTCATTGTCGGGCTCTGATATCATTTGTAACGGGCTAAGCCCACCACTAACATATATTATCCTCTTTGGGTTTACTCTCAATGTTTTTAAAACGAGTCTAGAGAGGTTTCCACCGAAGGGATATCACAATTAGTTTCAATCTTCTTGAATATTAAGATCGTACAACTTACACACTCGATCTAGATGAAAAACACGAAACATCGAAATACAGGGTAATAATAAAATTGGAGCTAAAGAAAAGTGGCCACCATGTTATCAATGAGATTCCCAAATGAAGTGTAAGAAGAACCACCATGAACAAGAGCTTCTCTACTCTTCTCGCTAGCTTCTTTCATTCTCTTCCTCATCTCCTCTGCATCATCGCCGTCGATCAAGCATCGAACGGCTCTGTCGATCTGATCGGAACTCACCAGATATCCACAGTCCCTATGGTAATCAATCTTCATCTCCACCGCTAAACCCAGTTCTCTAACCAGCTCGAACGCGTTTATCTGCTGCTCGGCGTACTGCGGCCAAGCTGCGAGCGGCACGGCGTGCCAAATGCTCTCCAAAATGGAGTTCCATCCGCAGTGTGAAACGAACCCTCCAATGGCTCTGTGGGCTAAAATATCCACTTGCCGAACCCACCCACATACTCTTCCTTTCCCGTTAACCCTCTCCCGGAATCCCTCCGGCAAGACGTCGTCGACATCGGCGTAATCAGACGGTGGTTCGAGTTGCTTGTGCGGCGGAGGTGGGCTACGCAGAGACCAGAGGAACCTGACTCCGCTACTCTCGAGCCCATTTGCTATTTCCATGACTTGGGGTTGGCTGAAACATCCCCAACTACCGAAGCACAAGAACACCACCGACGACGGCGGTTGATTATCAAGCCAACCCTTGATTTCCCTGCTCTGTTTTTCATCTGGGGTTGGCCGATTTTCGCTTTTCAGGTCGAGCACCGGCCCCACCGTGTAGATCGGAGGGATCCCATCTTCAGAGAGTGAACTCCAAACAGAGGGTTGATGAAGCTCGGCGAAGGTATTGATGATAATTCCTTTAGATTCCTTCAATTTCCGAGCTTGTTTCGCCATGGAACTGAATCCGCCGTCGCCGTTAAACGCAAATTGAGGCAGAGCTCCCATCGGAACAGAGTGGGTGAAACAGGGGATGGTTGAATCGGCTTCCGATTTGTCGAATTCAACCCCGACTAATCGATCTCGGGCTTCGAGATGAAACATAAATCCGAGAAATCCCGCGCCGGAAGTGAGGAAGATGTACGAATTGATGCCAAGTTCATCGCCGACATCGATCATGGAAGTGCAGAAAACATCAAGAACCAAGCCAGCGACCGGCACGACAAGGTCAACAACGGCGTTTTTAACCAAAGATTTGTAGCTCTCGACATAGAGAGAGAAGTAATTCTCAGGGGATTTGTGTAAGATTTGGATGGGAGGAGGATCGGGGGGGCAGGGGAGATGAATATAGCGAATGCGCGGCGTGGAGGTAGGCGGCGGCGGATCGGAGTTTCCTGGCGTCGGCGTCAGGGCAAATGGGGGTTTCATGAGGAGAATGGTGGCGGAGAATCGGTGGTCGCGATCGAGAAACTGAGTGATGAACTTGAGGGTGGAGACGAGGTGACCGACTGCCAGCGACGGCAAGAAAACCAGTTCCGCCGTCTCCATGTCGGGAAAAGTCAACGGAACAGTGAATGGATCGTGTTTCTGTAAAACCAGTCGTGGGTCTTAATTTGATGGTTTTTGTCAACGAAGGTATAAAATAGTTGTGACGGGAAAAATATTCTAATTCTTTATTATAAACCATTTAATATTTCAATACTTATCCACAAATATATATATATATATATAGATGTTTCTAATAATTATTAAATACAAATCTGAAAATAAAATATTTTTATAATTTTTATAACGAATTTTTGTTAATGTGACAAGATGCAAAAATACCGAGTTTTTTTTACCATTTTGATGGATTGTATTTTCTTTATTTCTTCGTGAAAATTTAAAGTTACTGTTTGTGTTTTCTTTTACCATTTTGATTGATCATATCTTTTTTGTTTTTTCGTGAAAATTTAAAAGTACTTTTAAGTTTTTTTTTTATCGTCTTCTTTATTTTTTTTGTGAAAATTTAAAGTTACTGTTTGAATTTTTTTACTATTTTGATCGATCATATCTTCCTTGTTTCTTTGTAAAAATTTAAAGTTACTCTGTTTGAGTTTCTTTTTACCATTTTGATTGATCCGTATCTTCCTTGTTTCTTTGTAAAAATTTAAAGTTACTGTTTGAGTTTTTTTTTTACCATTTTGATTGATCGTAGCTTCCTTGTTTCTTTGTGAAAATTTAAAGTTACTGTTTGAGTTTTTTTTTACCATTTTGATTAATCGTATCTCCCTTGTTTCTTTGTGAAAATTTAAAGTTACTATTTTAGTTTTTTTTTACCATTTTGATTGATCGTATCTTCTATGTTTCTGTGTGAAAACTTAAAGTTACTGTTTGAGTTTTTTTTTACCATTTTGATTGATCGTATCTTCTATGTTTCTGTGTAAAAACTTAAAGTTACTGCTTGAGTTTTTTTAATCATTTTGATTGATCGTATCTTTGTTTCTTCGTGAAAATTCAAAGTTACTGTTTGATTTTTTTTTTTTACCATTTTGATTGATCATGTTATTGTATGGTAAATCTACCGGTTCAATGAAAAAAAAATAATTTGTTTTTAGTACTCTTAATGGAGAAGCTAAAGTGGCCCGAGTGAGAAGAAAATATTCTAGAAAAACGAAGAAAAAGAGATTGCGCGTAAATTGACGGTATAGTTAACCATCAAAATTTTTATATATTTCCGTTTTTTTTTGTTTTGTTTTTAAGCATATCATAGTTTTATTTTTTCCCATTTTCATCGACTTTCATGATTTTTCACTCGGAACGATATTTTCGAAGAGCTAGATGAAGTTTGAAATTTCAAAAGATCCGAAACCAAACAAAAAGCGTCGTACTAAGTGGCACATTGAAACTCTGGATTTACCTATGCTCTGGTATGATTGAAAACACGTTATAGAAAGCTTATTATCAAGATTTGAACATGAAATGAGTTGGTTTGATATATGTAAGAGTACATGATGCGAGCTAAACTTAAACCATGATTAGGTATCCATATTTAGGTCCCAATACTACGTCTCTATTAATGATTTATTGCCATATTTATGCATATTTTGGGTATATTTTAATTTTAATTTTTTTTAAAGTATATTTGAAAACTTTATGTTTAATAAATCTTATGTGTTAGTTAAACGAAGGTCAACTATAGCGAGAGTAAAGGATCTAACGATCAAATTTTGAGATAAAAATATATTTTTAAATATGAATATTAATTAAAAATATATATATCATCAAATATTTGTCGTTGTAATAAAAAAAAGAAAAAAATGGAAAATCCATCTTTCTCTCAGAGCTCTCTGTTCCTGACTGGTTTGTCATCCGTATGTGGCCGATCCGATCAATTCGATTGAATCTGATCAAAGTTCTTGGGATCGGTCCGGCAGGATTTATCGCCGCCGATGGCGTTTTCACCCACAGCCGGTGGAGGAAGTTCCAGAGACACATCCATTGTCGTTCTCACACTCGAATCAGGGGAAGTCTATGTAGTTGCAAGTTTGTATTCGAGGAACGATACGCAGCTGATCTACATCGATCCCACCACCGGCGCTCTTCGCTACCATGCGAAGTCCGGACTTGACGTCTTCCAGTCCGAGTCCCAGGCAATCGATTTCGTTACCAAGGGATCGCGATGGCTCTGTAAGTCCTCCGTCCAAGCTAGAGCGCTTTTAGGATACGTTGCCGTGGGTGGAACTGGTTTACTCTTTGTTGCCACCAAACTTTCCGTCAGTATACCGAATTTTCCCGGTGGAGGATGTATTTTCACGGTGCTGGAGAGTCAGTGCATCAAGGTTACGCTGCAGAATCCGCAGGTTCAGGGGAAGGGCGAGCTGAAGAACGTGCAGGAATTGGCTGAGGCTGATATTGAGGGGAAACACTACTTTTGTGAATCGAGGGACATCACGAGACCGTTCCCTAGCCGGATGCCGGTGGGCAAGCCCGACGAAGAGTTCGTTTGGAACTGTTGGTTGTCGATGGCCTTCAAGAACATTGGGCTGCCATATCATTGCGTTGCGCTTCTCCAGGTTTTGCTTTGCGCTTAATTTATCGTCATCATCGTAATCTTTTATTGGTTTCTTGGCGTGTCATGAATTGGCAGTTTTTGGAGTGTTGTCTTAGTGGATAATATTGTGTAGGGGTTTGCAGAGTGTCGAAGTTTTGGTAGTTCTGGTCAGATGGAAGGGTTTGCCGCACTTATTGCTCGTCGAAGCAGGCTGCATCCGGGCACTCGATATTTGGCCAGGGGGTTAAATTCATGCTTCAGCACAGGTAATCAATGTGGCGTTTGATCATTACTGGAAAAGAATTCATTTCCCATTGTTGTAATTCTTCCATATCGTTATAATTCCCACTGTTTGTTCATTCATTCATTTCCTCTTTTGGATAAGAAACATGTTTAATTGTCAAGTTACAAATGCTCCAAATCTGGCAGGAAACGAGGTTGAATGTGAGCAACTGGTATGGATACCTAAAAAGGCAGGTCAGAGCACTCCTTTTAACACGTACCTTTGGCGACGAGGCACCATTCCAATTTGGTGGGGTGCAGAGCTGAAGATCACTGCTGCAGAAGCAGAAATACATGTTTCTGATTGTGATCCTTATAAAGGATGCGTGCAATACTATCAGAGGTTGAATAAGAGATATGAAGCTGGGAATATCGATGTTGTCGGTGAAGGAAATCGGGACAAAAAGGCTTTGGTTCCTATAGTTTGCATAAATTTGCTTAGGAATGGAGAAGGAAAATCAGAATCAGTTTTAGTTCAGCACTTTGAGGAATCAATGAGTTATATTAAATCAACGGGTAAACTTCCGAATACTCGAATCCATTTGGTAAATTATGATTGGCATGCAAGTACAAAGTTAAAGGGCGAACAGGAAACAATTGAAGGGCTGTGGAAGCTTCTAAAAGGACCTACTGTATCAATAGGTGTTTCTGAAGGGGATTATTTACCATCCCGCTTACAGACTACGGATTATAGGGGCGAAATCATACATAATGATGACTTTGAAGGTGATTTTTGCATAAGGTCATATCAAAATGGAGTGATACGATATAACTGTGCCGATTCTTTGGATAGAACCAATGCTGCTAGTTTTTTTGGGGCTCTCCAAGTCTTCATGGAGCAATGCAGGCGGCTAGGGATATCTTTAGATAATGACTATGGAATGGGTTACCGTTCAGTGGATACCCACAGTGGATATACAGCTCCACTGCCACCAGGGTGGGAAAAAAGGAGTGATGCTGTGACAGGGAAGACCTATTATATTGATCATAATACGAGGACCACAACATGGACACATCCTTTTCCTGATAAACCTTGGAAAAGATTTGATATGACATTTGAAGAATTCAAGAAATCAACAATTCTATTTCCCATTTCTCAGCTAGCAGATTTGTTTTTGCTTGCCGGGGATATTCATGCCACCCTTTATACTGGTTCCAAAGCTATGCATAGCCAAATCCTTAACATATTCAATGAAGAAGCAGGAAAATTTACACAATTTTCCGCTGCACAAAACATGAAAATTACTTTGCAGAGAAGATATAAAAATGCAGTTGTTGACAGCTCTCGGCAAAAGCAGCTGGAGATGTTTCTTGGGATGAAGCTTTTCAAACATCTTCCATCAATACCTATTCAGCCACTTCATGTATGTTTTTGAAAATTTTATGGACGATTTGGTCTTTAATACCTAGCAATTGGAGAATTACGACTCATACATGCATTTCTTTTTACATTGAAAATAAATTCTCTCATTAAACAAAGAATCAAGACCATATTTGGTAATTATTTATCTATTTTTCTTATTTGGGGATGGAGGGTATGGAAGTCGCATGGTTTTATTGTGCCTTTCATGGTAGATGAATATTTTCCTTTTTATAAAATATTATTTTATTTGCTTGGGTAGTGTTTTTTGTTAAAAGGTGGAATGAAATAATTAATACCCAGTAGAATTTGATTTCTCAACAATATAGTGAGCTGAACAGAACTCTTTGCATGTGGTCATTTTATTATAAATGGATAGGATTTCTAAATTGTTTCTTATATCAAAAGGAATAGGCGTCTTAAGACAGTTGATAACAAGGCGTATAGTCTCTATATTGTTTTACTTGCATGATGTTGAGGTCGGTTAAGGGCCTTTGGATTCAACAGAGATATCATGAGTTCAATTTGACATTGGAGCTCTATCATGGATTGAATATCACAAAAATTCTTAGATTCCAGCTTTTGAAGCCTCAAACAGTTGTGCTGGTTTTGAACCTGGTGAACATAGATAGCCCCTAAATTTGAGGCCAATGGATGTAATATGCTTTATAATATTTTTTAAGCATTGATTCATCTTAAACTATAAGTACGAGAGATGATTTTCACCTCATGTTTAGTGATGACGATGGCATTGGTTATCCAAATGTTATTGGCTCTAAAGAGAAGTTCCATTATTTAGGCTACCTCCTTTTATGAGCTTATGAGCCTCTCATTGGGACTCTTATCGTTAAAGAGGAGTATGTGTTGTAGCTACTCCTAGTCTACCATGTTAAGTTTTTTCCTGTTTGATATTTCACATCCTGGCTCAATTATTGCATTATTTCCTTTGGTTATTGTCCTTGTATTGCACATATGGTTACCACATGTTACTTATGCTCTACTTTTCTGTTTAGTTGTGTTGATTAACAACATGGATTGGCGTAGGTACTCACGCGAGCATCCAGTTTTTTACTCAAACCTATCACCAACATGTACCCAAACTCTAATGGTGGATCTGGTCTTCTGAGTTTTAAGAAGAAAAGCGAGATCTGGGTACTGGAAATTCTTTTCTTATCTGAATCATATGTCTGATGGAAACATGATACCTGTTCAAATTTCTTATTATCCTTGCTGCTTTAGAAACTTTATGAATTGTGATTGGTCTTGCTTGCTGCCTTTTCATGAGATAATTGTGTTTTTTGTCCTACAGGTCTTTCCGCAGAATGATGATGTCGTTGAACTGTTCATTTATCTAACTGAGCCTTGCCATGTCTGTCAGCTTCTTCTTACTGTATCTCATGGTGCAGATGACTTGACTTATCCTGCCACCGTTGATGTAAGGACTGGCCGTAATTTTGATGGGCTAAAACTAATTCTTGAGGTTTGTATGCTCTTCAAAACTTTCCCTTCGTGCTTTATGATCATAGTGTTTCTCTTGTTCAACGTCAGGAGATGTAGAGGTACAGCTCTTTAGTTAGTGTGGTCGCATGAAGAAACTGTTTTGCCAGGCTGCTTCTTGTAACATTTGTTTTGTCAAAAAAATGGAAAATCTTACTATTGATTACAGAGTTACATATCATCGATAGATGTTTAATTGCATATTGCATTTGGGCGTTTTCCTTTTTGACTACATATTGCAGTTACATGGAACACCAAAATGACCTTTCACATGGTCATTCAAGCCCATTCACACATTATTACGCTGTTAAACATTGTTACAATATATCATCTGCATACTGCTTCTAGTTCTAGCTTTTTTATTTTTTAAGCATGAATTTATTTAAATTCATAACAAATTATGTATCAGAATTCCCCAATTTCTCACAAAAGGCAACATACATGAAGTGACTGCTCGTTCTGCCATCCATATTTTCCTACATACATGGACTGTTTGTATGTATGCAAATGGTTAATATTAACACGTGGTTATTGATGTTCTTAAATAGCCTTGTTGGTTCTTTGCAGGGTGCTTCCATTCCTCAGTGTGAAAATGGGACAAACCTTGTAATAACCTTACCAGGACAAATCAGTGCTGAGGATATGGCTATCACTGGGGCTGGTGCACGCCTCCATTCCCAAAATGCATCAACACTTCCATTATTATATGATTTTGAAGAACCAGAGGGTGAACTGGACTTCCTTACTCGTGTTGTAGCTGTGACATTTTATACTGCTGATTCTGGGAGAAGTTCAATGACACTTGGTGAGGTGAGAAGTAATCTTTCATTGAGCTACACAATCATTTTCTGAGGGCATCTTGATGAGTTTTTTTGGACCTGTAATATTTAACATGTAGTTCTCTAGATTCTGGCATAGATGTCATACTTCAATTTTTTCATTTCATTTGGCCTGTTTTTATTTTTATTTATATATTTTTTCCCCTGTCTCATTTCTTTATATCCTATTTCTTTTCTAGGATTAACGAAATTTTATTCGTAGCCAGCCTAATGTTACATTGACATATTTGAGGAAGTTGACCTTTATTATTATTATTATTACTATTATTTTCTCAACTGGTATAATTTGCTAATTTACATCTTTAGGGTTCTCTGTCTCGCCCATCAGCTTTTTTTTTTTGTTATTTTTTTTGTCATTTATCACTATTACGTTTGTATTTGCTCTTACTTCTACTTTGTAACATATTTTATTTTGTTGGCTAATATTATAGATAGAGATCCTTGGAGCTTCACTTCCTTGGAGTGGGGTGTTTTATGACGAAGGACCTGGTGCAAGATTAGCTCACCTCCCTAAAAAGACTCATAAGGAAATCAACCAATTTTCTTCTGGTTCAGGAACCAAGCCATCTATGGCCCCTTCATTAAATGAGGATATTTCAAAATCAGTTAAAGCGAGTACTTCTGCAGATCCATCGGTTGACCTTTTGACCGGAGAAGTCACATTTTCAGATACAATTTCACAACCAGTTAGTGATACTGTTGTACATCAGGGGGAACACTTACCTGATCTTTTGGACCAGCATGTTGCATTTCATGGTGCTGAAACCGACCACAAAGTTTCCTCACCAGAAGATCCAAAGGTTACAGATAGTTGTTCCGAACAATACATAAACTGTCTCATATCCCTTGCAGGACCTCAGATGGTATGTTTCAATTTTTTATGTTTCGTCTGGTCATCATGACATCATTTAAATTAGGACGGTGCAATGTATAGATTTCAATTTTGAGCTGTATCAGAGTTGGCACAGATCATGGGCCAACCTACAAATTAAGTGATTGGCTAACATCAAAACTGGCTAACCAGAACGTAGATGATAGGAAGCAAATAAATGGATAATATACGATAGTTCATCTGAACAAGTTGAGCAAAAATGAAAAGAAATAAAAATAAAGAAAAAATATATAAAGAAGGATAATGGGCCTCCTTCAATGCATACATGTTCTATGAGAGCTGAAAAGGAAAGTCCAGGGCAGCTTGCTGAGACAGTCAATTTGTTTGGAGTGAATTTTGGGTTGGTTATAAGAGGCAACAGATATGGGGAAGGAAATTAGGATGAGGTTTTCAGCGAAGAACCAACAGGCAATAGTTTTTCTGAATCCCTCTCTGCACATTGATTATTGAATTAGTGGTTTTTGAGTCAGTAAGAACTAGGAAATTCTTGCTACGATAGGTAGTGGTACAAGATCTGTGAGTAATGGTTGGCCATGTCATTATTTGAGTGGCATGTGCCTAAAAGGATGGATTATGACGATCACTTTTAATAGAAGAATGAAGATGATTTAATCATCTAGTATTCGTATTCTGATCCTAATATATCATATTTAGACAGATAATATTTATGCAATATGCAGGAAAAGAGGCTCAGCTTTCAAGAAGCCATGAAGCTTGAAATTAAGCGCCTCCGGCTAAATCTTTCAGCTGCCGAGAGGGATAGGACATTATTATCAACTGGAACTGATCCTGCTACTATAAATCCAAATCTATTGCTCGATGAAATTTATATTGGAAGGTTATGCAGACTGGCGAACAACCTTGCATTAGTTGGACACACTTATCTGGAAGACAAAACTACTGCTGCTATCGGTCTTGATAAAATTGATGATCTTGTGGATTTCTGGAACATCACGGAAATTGGAGAGATCTGTTCTGGTGGAACCTGTGAGGTGCGTGCTGAAATTAATACACCAGTTCAATTTCCTTCTAAAGCATCTTTAATGGGAGCTCCCCAGCCTGTCTTGTTATGCTCGCAATGCCAAAGAAAGGTTTGTAAAGTATGCTGTGCTGGGAGAGGGGCTCAACTACTAACAAGCTATAGCTCACGAGAAGTCTCAAACTACAGCCAGGGAGGATCTGGTCATGGGAGCCGAATTGATATCTCGAATGGTTTGGATGGTCTTGTCTGTAAGAGCTGCTGTCCCAACATTTTGCTTGATGCATTGATCTTGGACTATGTAAGGGTATTAATTAGTGCACGAAGAATTGCTCGTGCCGATGATGCTGCATATGGAGCTCTGAACCAGGTGATTGGATCATCATTTGGGGATTGGCTTTCTGAAAAGAATCTGCGGTATGCTGGCCAACGAGTAAATAAGGTCCTTAGAAAACTGCTTAATGGAGAAGAGTCTGTTGCTGAATTTCCATTTGCCAGCCTTTTGCACTTGGTAATGTTCTGATTCTTAGATTCGCACAAGTTTTTTCTCTGTCATGTGCGCTGCATATGATTTTCTCATTTAAGAATATAACTATGAGATTATATTTTATATTTTTCTTTTAGAGTAAGTTAGAAAACTAGAATATTCACAATAGTACTTGCGATATTTATTCCTGAAAAAGTGATGATGTTACAATTAGGAGTAGAAGAATAAAAAATGTATTTTGGGTGGAGAAATGGTTGATTGAGGGGTGTTTGGCAACTTAAATTACCAATATATATTGTAAAAATCTTTATTTGCCGCCATTGCATTTTCAAAAAGTTCACGCTGAGAGTAACTCTATTGTGATGGACAAACTCACCTTAATGGAAAAGTTCTGGTCCCCAAAGATAATGCTAGGAGCCATTGCAAATCTATGGCCTCTTACAAAAGCTTGGTGGACATTACTTTGAATTTTAAACTTGGCAATGAAAAGGGAACCAAATTTTGGTAGGATGTCCTGGTTAGTGACGAATCACTCGAAGATCTTTTTGCTAGACATGCAATAGAAGTTATTAGGTATGAAGCAGAAATTTATTTGAATTTTCGGAATTCATCAGCATTGATATCATTCCGTAAAAGGCTGGTGGCTTAGCCTTTTGTTCATGACAAAGTTAGTACACTGCCTTCTGAATTTGGTACTGTTATCGGTTCCATTTTGCTACTTACCTTACATTCTCGAAGACACAGAATGGAATGTGATTTTATTTTTAAAAATTAACTCTCTTTTAGAAAAGACATTTCAAGATACTCTAATGTTTTTATCTCTTGAACATTGTCTGATATTATTCCAAGAATTGTGTCATCCACTCGCAAAAGTTTTCCATTTGGTTGTCTTTGTAATTTATAATAATTTGCAGGGTTTTGCGTAATTGTAGGTTGAAACAGCAGCAGATTCAGCACCAGCCTTGTCATTGCTTGCTCCCTTAGGTTCTGGTTCATTTTCTTCATATTGGAAAGCTCCTCCCAACACAACCTCTGCTGAATTTGTTATTGTTCTTGGTTCCATTTCTGATGTTAGTAGTGTCATCATGATTGTGAGCCCGTGTGGGTACTCTGCAGGAGATACTCCAATTGTAAGTACTAACATTTGCGTGCTTAATATGCTTCTTTAGGAGATATTCCAATTGCAAGTACTAACATTTGCGTGCTTAATATGCTTCCTTGTTAGTGTGTTGGTAGTCAATGTGCTTGTTATTAGAGCCTACATAGACATAAGAGTGCAAGTATTCCAGAAATGTATCTTGCAAGCATAGCAGGGATAGTTGAATAAGTCACTGCAGGATCATCATGGATGGTGCTCAAGAACAAAAAATCATTTTAACTGAATATTATTTCATGGCAGATATAACCTTTGCTATGTGTAAGTTATAGTTTTTGACATGGACTTGTTTTACTTGAATCAGTCTGCAATTTTTTGTAACTTCACATTTTGTGTCAAATACAACTTTATAGCACCGGGAACATTTGCGTTCGTGTCTTACTAGACTTTTTTGCTCGTGCACATTATGTCTTTTGTTGACTTGAATAAACAAAAAATGAGACAACACATCTCTACAGGGGGTAGATTTGAACCATGAATTTAGAATATATTATTACAATGCTTTGAAATCTTACTGGATATTGAAACTTGTACCCTTCTCTCATTTCAGGTACAAATTTGGGCGAGTAATTTTATTCACAGGGAAGAACGGTCATATATTGGAAAGTGGGATGTTCAATCCTTGATTCCATCTTCATTTGATTTTTGTGGACCAGAAAGAAAACACAGCGAGGATGCAGCACCTAGACATGTCCGGTTTACCTTTAAAAGCCCCGTTAGATGTCGCATCATTTGGATGACGCTACGCCTCCAACGTGCTGGTTCCAGTTCTTTTAATTTTATGAAAAATTTTGACCTCTTGTCTCTAGATGAAAATCCTGTTGCCCCAGTTAATCCACAAGTTAATCGACGTGCCTCCTTTGGATCCTTTGGAGGATCAAGAGAAGCTATTCCTTGTCTCCATGCTAAACGAATAATCGTAGTCGGAATCCCAGCGAGAAAAGAGATAGCCCTTGAATCATCATCAGACTCTGATCAAGTGACTAATACTGACAGGTCCTGGTTGGAGAGAGCCCCTCAATTAAGGAGATTCAAGGTAGAAATTCTTCTCTTGTGGGTGGTCTATAATGTATAGTCTCTGTGGCATTTGTCAAAATTCCTCCAATACTAATTTGCTGTTAACTGTCCTTTTGTTTTCTTTAGGTTCCAATTGAAGCTGAAAGGGTTATGGACAACGATATTGTCTTGGAACAGTATCTATCTCCAGCTTGCCCAATGATTGCTGGGTTCCGTCTGGAGGCTTTCGGTGCAATTAAACCTCGAGTTACCCATTCACCTTCTTCAGATGAACAAGTCTGGGATGCCTCGGTTACATTTTTAGAAGATCGACACATCTATCCTGCTGTAATATATCTACAAGTTTCCGTTATTCAGGTAACTAGTAGTCTTTGTTTTATGTTGTTCAGATAATAAATAGTGTTTGTGTAACAGTCCAAGTCCATCTCTGATAGATATTGTCCTCTTTGAGCATTTCCTTTCGGGATTCCCTCCAAGTTTTAAAACATGTCTGCTAGGGAGAGGTTTTCACACTTTTATAAAGAATGTTTCGTTCCCCTCTCCAACTGACGTGGAATCTCACACTTTGTTCCGTATACAACTTTAGCATAACAACTGTAATGGCCCAAGTCACCGCTAGCAGATATTGTCCTCTTTGGGCTTTCCCTTTCGGGCTTCCCCTCAAGGTTTTAAAAACGTGTTTGCTAGGGAAAGGTTTCCACACCCTTATAAATAGTGTTTTGTTCTCCTCCCCAACCAATATGGGATATCACAAAAATATACATAGCTAGGATACAATCCATTAACTGTTTTCCATGGACAACAACTACGTGCAAAAGGATCCCATTTTCTCATTTCTCAGCACGGTTTTCGTCTCGAACAAAATTTTCATTATGATGTTTAGTTTATTTAGCTCTTTTTGAATTTCTCAAATAAGGAAAGCAGATACTCTCGCCAGAATTGTCTAATTTGGGCGATTCTCATCTGATGCTGAGTATCTTTGTTCAAGGGCACGGATTATATTTTTTACTGGAAAGTTACTTTAGTATTTCAATCATGCTTATAGTTAACATGATTTTTACAGGAGCCTAATAATGAAGTAACTATTGCCGAGTACCGACTACCGGAAGCGAAAGCTGGAACAGGATTTTACTTCGATTTGCCTAGACCTGTACAAACGAGAAGAATTATATTCAAACTTCTCGGCGATGTTGCAGCGTTTTCCGATGACCCAGCTGAACAAGACGATTCTGGATTTCGGGTTTTTGCAGCAGGGTTGTCTTTGTCTAATAGAATTAAGCTTTTTTACTATGCAGATCCTTATGAACTCGGAAAATGGGCAAGTCTTTCAGCTGTTTGATTCTCGGACGTTGCTCTTATTGCGAGGAGAAAAGAAAACAAAAGGTAAAGGTAATTAATTATGTTATTTGATTCCATTCTTTGTTGTAATGCCAATATATGTAACTCAATATTCTTTTGCATAATAATACCAAATTTTAGGAACTTAGAAGAAAAGTTCTCTTTCCTGCTGGAATAGGTATTTGTGTATATACAAATCTCAAGATTTTGATCCTTTTGAGTTGGGAATGAGTAAGAAAAAGGTTGTTTGTCTAGTGGTCTTGCGTGGCGTTTGATGTTCATTTATGTTCTTTGATTAAGTAATATTTGAATTTGATAGATACTAAGACCATACGTAGAGTGAAGCATGGAAAATTCAAACTTCTGACCTTTATTTTATTTGAGCTTGTAAAAAAATTCTCTAATGTTTATCTTCTCCTCTCGTGTGTTCTAGAATGAGTATAACCCACTTAGCATCTATTCACGTGCAATCTCTTCGCCTAATCTTTGATAAAAACGTCATCTGCTCTGAAAGCATAGAGAGAACAAACTTCATTAGGAATTGTGTTGGAAAGCTTTTTAAAGCTAACTCAACAACCTCAAATTATTCAGGCATATCTCTCATATCTATATACACAGATTCAATGTTTGTTGTTTTTGAAAGATTGATGGATTGATTATTCTTTTTAGAATCATATTCAAAAGATCAATCCGATTGAGCTTTCACTATTATTTGAATGCACTACCAATATGCATCAATTGTAGCTCATTTTTAGTTGATGAAGACCGTAAATTGAATCTACGATAGCTTCAATTGAAAACATGGGAATTATCAATAAAAAAAAAAAAAAAAATTGCAATTATATTTATTATTAGTTGTTATATTACTGATTACAAAAAAAACAAGCACATAAAACAACGTTCTCTTCATTAATCTAAACAAAAAATAAGGAAACCCACCAAATCTCTGACATCTTTTGTTGCCTTTTTGTGTTCTGTCTGTGTCCTATTCCAAACAGAAAATAAGAAAATATAACATTATTCATAAATGCATATAAAAGATTGTAAAGACGTATTTTCTCAGTTGAAAGTTTTGTTATGGTAATGTCAGAATTTCATATAAATAAAATGTTTTACACAATTTTATAAATTATAATTGTTAAGTTAGATTAACTAAAATATTTTTAACTAATTAAATTTTAATTTCTTTAGTTTATTGTGTAATAAATGTTAATAGTCATCTTCAAACAAATAATTTTAATAATATCATATAATTTTTTAATAAATAATACATTGCACTTTGAGATTATTGTACAACTATAATAATAGTTTATTATTATTAAATAATTAATTACAATTAATTACAATTATAATTAGAATAATTAATTAATTATACCCCAACAAAAGAAAATAGAGTTTTAAAAGAAGGAGAAACCATACTAAACACAAATAGTAATAAAAATCATATTTAGAAAAAGATCAACAAAAAAATAAACATAAGTGGAATAAGGAATAATACAAAAAAAAGAAAAAAATGGGTTTTCTCGGCCAAACACGTAAAACCTATTTCATTTCTTAACTCAAACCCTATCTTTGCTTTGAGCTCGTGTTAGAAATCACGACTTTTCACAACAAGTCAGCAATGACGCCCGTGTTTGAAATCACGACTTTTCACAACAAGTCAGCAATGACGCCCGTGTTTGAAATCACGACTTTGTACATGGTATTGTCAACTTTAATAATATGCTATTATGACTTTGTTTCAAGCTCCTTCAAATGACCCTATTAAAATATATTATTATTTACTTATAAACTCAAAATAAAACTCTCTTCCAACTACGTTCAAAGCTGGTTCTTTGTTCTATAAATTGATTGGCTCCCCCAAGATCAGTTCTTCACTCCTAAAATCTCCGACCCTCTGAATCCAATGAAGAAATTCGAGGTGGTTTTCATTCCCGGCCCCGGCATGGGTCACCTTGCCTCCACCGTCGAGATGGCCAAGCTTCTCGTCGCCCGAGATGCCCGTCTCTCCGTCACTGTCCTCGCCATCAAGCTCCCCCACGACGCCCAAACAGCCCACCACATTCAGACCCTTTCAGCCGCTTTTGAAGGAAACTCCGTAAGGTTTATTGTTCTTCCTGAACTAATCTTTCCAAGCGATGGTAACAGCAGCAGCAGCAGCAGCTTTCTTGTGGAGAAACTCTATGAATCTTACAAACCCCATGTGAGACAAGCTGTTACTAACCTCATTGGCTCCATCAATCTTGTGGGTTTTGTCATAGATATGTTTTGCACAACTATGTCGGATGTCGCTAAGGAATTTGGGGTTCCTTGCTATTTGTTTTACACTTCTAGTGCTGGGTTTCTTGCTTTTAGCTTTCATATTCAAGAATTTTATGAACAAAACAAGAACATTGAAGAATTGCTGCAAAACCCAGATGGGGAATTAGCTAATCCACCTAGCTTTATTAATCCTGTTCCTCGTACTGCCATTCCTGGATTCTTCTTTGATAAAGACATGTCTGTTTGGTTTCATGATAATACGAGGAAATTCAGAACAGAAATACAGGGGATTTTGATTAATACATTTGTGGAAATGGAATCACATATGATGAAATGGATGTCAAATGGGTCCTCAAAAATCCCCAATTTGTATGCAATTGGACCCATTTTGCAATGCAATCCTAGTGTTAATGATGGTTTAGAAGCTCTGAAATGGCTCGATGAACAACCGGTGGATTCGGTGGTTTTTCTCTGTTTTGGAAGCAGAGGAAGCTTCGACAAGGATCAAGTGGCGGAGATAGCTCGAGGTTTGGAGCGAAGTGGGGTTCGGTTCTTGTGGGCTCTCCGGCAGCCGTCACCGGAGGGTGCGATGGATGTGCCAAATGACTACGCCGACATCAACGAGGCTCTACCGGAGGGGTTTCTTGAGCGAACTAGGAGTGTTGGGAGGGTTATTGGGTGGGCGCCGCAGGCGGAGATATTGGCTCATCCGGCGACCGGTGGGTTCGTGTCGCATTGTGGTTGGAACTCGACGTTGGAGAGCTTGTGGCATGGTGTGCCGATGGCGGCGTGGCCGTTGTATGCGGAGCAGCAGTTTAATGCGTTTGAAATGGTGGCGGAGCTGGGATTGGCGGTGGCGGTGTGCTTGGATTATAGGAAGGATTTGGGGAGAGAAGGGTTGAGAGTTGTGAGTTGTGAAGAGATTGAATGTGGGATTAGGACATTGATGGATGAAGGGAATGAGATTAGGAAGAAAGTTAAGGAGAAGAGTGAAGAAAGTCGGAGGAGTATGAGGGACGGTGGTTCGTCGTTCGTTTCGTTGGGTCGTTTTATTGATGATGTCTTGGCCAATGCACCCGAAGGCAACCACTGAAAGCTCGTAGATTGGTTCGTAAATCTTCCCGTAGATTCAACTTTGGGTCTGGATTGATTGATAATAAGGTGTAATCGACTCTGTTAGGATGATGGATATTGGTAGTATGTTTACATAGTGAAAACTCAATCGAGTTGATCTTTTAAGTATGTTTTAAGAAATAGTAATCGTTCGATTGATCTTTTAAAAGTGCAAATGTTAAAGAAGTTTGAATTTGTGTATATTGATGGATTGGTCATGGACACGAGAGACCGTGAGTGAAGAATTTGAGGGTGTTGAGTTAGCTTTGAAAAGCTTTGGCAACGAAGTTCAAGTGGGTTATTCCTAATAGAGAATATCTCGACTCAACCCGACTTGGTCCAATATAAATAATTGTCTGTGAGATCCCATATTGATTGGAGAGGGAAATGAGTGTTAGCGAGAACAGTGGACCTTGAAGATGGTGAATTATGAAATCCTATATCGATTGGAGATAGGAACGAATGAAAACGAGGACACTGGACCTCGAAGGGTTGAATTTTGAGATCGTACATAGATTGGAGAGAGAAACAAAACATGTAAAAGGTGGGGAAATCTCTCCGTGCCAAACACATTTTAAAACTCGGAAGGAAAGCCTGTAAATGATAATATCTACTAGCGGTGGCTTAAGTTGCTATATTGTCAACTTTAATCAACATGCACTTTAGGGATTAGGGTTTAGCGTTTAGTTCACTTATTGTCTAGCCTTTCACGTGCCCAATGGACATTTCTAAGCTCAACCCGATCCTACCAGATCGAACGTAGTGGTTGTCAATTATTTGATTCCCCGACCATTTATATTATTACCACTAAAAATATTAATTCTTTATCCAAAGGCACAGCGAAGCCATGACGTCATCCATCTCTGTTAAAAACTTCAATATAATTACACAAATACCCTCCTCCCTCTCCACTGATTCTGCCGTCCTGTGCTGAAAATGAAGAAGCTGGAGCTGGTGTTCATCCCCACGCCGCTCATCGGCCACCTCACCGCCGCCGTCCACCTGGCCCACCTCCTCACAACTCGACACCCTCCTCTCTCAATCACCATTCTCATAATCAAACTCCCTTTCCCCACCAAATCCGCCCCTCTAATCCAATCCCTCTGTTCCTCCTCTGCTTCCGACCGGATCCGATTCATCACCCTCCCGGAACAACCCATCCCCGAAGGCACCAAAAGGACCCTCCTCCTCGACCCCCTCGTCCAATCTCAGAAACTAAACGTTGCCACCGCCGTCGCTGACCTCATCTCCGCCGCGGACGGAGGACCGGACTCCCCGACACTTGCTGGGTTCGTCGTCGACATGTTCTGCATTCCCATGGTGGATGTGGCCAACCAATTTGGAGTCCCTACGTTCGTGTTCTACACTTCCAGCGCTTCCTTTCTAGCCCTCCTCTTCCATCTCCAAGAGCTCTACGACAATGAGTTCAATCACGACATGGACCGGTTACTAAACTCCGCCACAGAGTTCGCCGTCCTCTGTTTTAGGAATCCGATTCCGAGGAAAGTGATTTCCACCATGTTTATAGACAGAGAAGCGACTGAATGGACGCACGCCCTCACTCGGAGATACAGAGAAGCAAATGGGTTTCTAATCAATACATTTTCCGAGCTCGAACTCGACGCGATTCGCTGGTTCGCTGAACAGAGGCTCCCGCCTGTGTACGCCGTCGGACCCATTTTAAATCTGAATAAAAACCCCCAAATCGGAGAAAGTGAGGAGGAAATCATGAAGTGGCTGGACGAGCAGCCGCCGTCGTCGGTCGTATTCCTCTGTTTCGGGACTATGGGGAGCTTCAATGAATCTCAGACCAAGGAGATCGCCGAAGCGTTAGAGCGAACCGGAGTCCGGTTCCTTTGGGCGATACGGCAGACTCCGCCGGAGAGCGTATTACCAGAGGGGTTCATAGATCGGACGGGTGGGATCGGAAAAGTGATAGGGTGGGCCCCGCAGATGGAGATATTGAAGCATCCGGCGACGGGAGGGTTTGTATCGCACTGTGGGTGGAACTCGGTGCTGGAGAGTTTGTGGAATGCGGTGGCGGTGGCGACGTGGCCGATGTACGCGGAGCAGCAGGTGAATGCGTTTGAGATGGTGGTGGAGTTGGGAGTGGCTGTGGAGGTTTCGTTGGATTACAGTATGATGGTGGCGGAGGAGGAGGAGGAGGAGGAGGCTGTTTTGAGGGCGGAGAAGATTGAGGGCGCCATTAGAAGGCTGATGGAGAGGTCGGATGAGCTTAAAAGGGCATTAATGGTTAAGGGTGAGGAAAGCAAGAAGGCGATGATGGAGAGTGGATCTTCTTTTAATGCACTTAATCGTTTCATTGATGCAATCATGCCTAATCGGTTCGATCCGAGTGAATCAGATCACTGAAGTCGACACACACGTACCTTCTCCTTTTTGTTTGATTTCTCCTCGTTCAGCTCGATCGATCATAGGATGTTAGTCATTTACTACCTAGATAAAACAAACTCTTTAAGTCTATAGTCTAATGGGTAAGAGTTAAACTAGAGAACCGCTTGGATCTTCGAACCCTCCCCAAAAGCTCATATGACCAAAGAGCTTAAGCTCGAATAGAGAAAAACTTGTAGTAATCTACTAGGATAAGAATGTGATAGAATCTACAAGTACGTTGCTTACTACATATATTTATACACTTTTTTTTTCTTTCTTTTTTTCAAGTTACTGCTGACCACTGGTCGTGTGGAGGAGTGCTCGAGAACTACTCGATTACATAGGCCAAAGGGGATCGTCTTGGGACATCAGTCATGTCTCATACCCATTTGCTGTTTGTAATAAACTCAAACATCACTTTTGACTTATTTGTCACGGTTTGAAATTCCAACTTGAAAAATGAGTTCACGGCAGTGAAATCGACTTGAATGTAAGGTATCTTGGTGGCTACAAATGGTGGGATTTTATTTTTATTCTTAAGTCAGAAATTACAACTTTAAATGTCAAAAATTCCGGTGATGATAATTAATTTTGCATTCAATTTTTAAATTCAGTGTCCCCCCACTACGCGGTTGGAATGGAATTTGAGGGTGGACCAGAAGTCAAAGTCGTTGAAAAATTAAAATAAAAAAAATAAAAAGAAAAAAGGTGAGCGAGCTTCTCATTGGACGGTGAGGATCAAACTGTCACAGGCGGACCTACCATTGCCTTTGATTTAGGAAGTATTTCAAATACTTTTGTAGTCTTCCTGATTTGACATTTGACACTGACTTATCAAGTCAACACTATTCGTTCTTCTTTTTCCATGAGGTTGACCTTTTGTCTTTTTAGTGGACTTATCTATCAGTCAACTATCACTCTTATCTCAACACGTGTAATGATCTACCTTTCATTCCTTATAAAGTGGGGTCTACACTTCCAAATGAACTTAAAGTAGAAATTTAGAATATGGTTACGTCTGATGTTCCCTTCCAACATGGTCACGTTATTTACTCATTCCTTCTAAAAATGAAGCTTACTCCATCAACCAACATAATTCATTTCAGGTCTCAAGTCAAGTAGAGATTTGGAATCCGAATTCAAAACTTAATAACTCCGGCTTTCACTTACAATATAGTCACATTACTTACTCTTTCCTTCTAAGAATGAAACTTAACCCATCAACCAATACGAGTCATCTCAGGTCGAATGTCACCCAATATAAAATTGTGCATATTTAGCTCGAGTACTTATGATTGAGCCATCGAAAAAGAGATAAACTTCGTTAGTATAGGTATACATTAGAGTTCATAAACCACTCATTTACTTATATGTAACAAGTTTCAACCCACGAACCAAATCAAATTTTTTTCAATTTTTAAAAATTCAACTCAACTCAAACCGAAAAAAAAAATACATACAACAGAAAACAGCTCAACAAAGTAATTCAAATTGTTCGAGATATCTAGTCATCTAAATATCTCTATATGGAATACCCATATTTTATACAACAAATTCATTTGCAAAACAAACATTTCACGACTATTCATGCAATTTATAATTCCAAATTATTTTACATCAGTTTCTCTAATATAATCTTCAACCTCAGAAACAAACTCACATGAACACTCCAATTGGCTGAGGGGAACTTTATAATCAAATCATGAGCCACAAAACATCTATCCATCCATCCTTCTCTATAAGGAAGACATAGTTATGCACAATTAATACTTAAAAATTGCTAAACAAAAACAAAAAAAGAGTAAATTTTCAAGCCCAGCGAGCGAGTGAAGACATCAAGGCAGCTCCAAGAATAAGAGAAAGATTGGCCATAAGTTGAAGTTTTCCATTACTCTGCATTCTTGGGTTCATAAAATCGGCAGCCAACAGATCAACAAGAGCCATATAGATTAAGATACCTGCTGAAGCTGCGTTCAATATCCCTTCCACTATCAGTGCTTTTGGGTCCTCTTCGTCGTAGCCCTTTGTTACTCCAATGCCTATTACTATCCCAATTGGTGTTGTCAGACAGAAGAATAGCGCCATTATTATTGTTGCTCTGTTCTTGAACTTTGCCTGCATGTTTCAACCAATTTAACCCCCTCAGGTTTGAAATTCTATCAATATAAGAAATGATTTGATTTAAATACGTTTCAAGATTGAGTCTCGACATCGAGCCAAACTGACTTAACTCGACTAGGTCTAGTTAAGCTAGTTTAACCTCCAACACTAAGCCACTAGTCTAACATATGTCTCGACGTTGGGCCACAATGACTTAATTTGATTAGGTCTAGATCAAGCTAGTTTAAACGTCCAATACTAGGCCCATCACCTAACACATTTGATATAAGTTTGACTTTGTAATAATTTACATCAATAAAAGTCATAATGTAAATATGTCACCAAAATTTACACAAAAAGGCTTAACAAAGATGAAGTATTTTTTTTGAAAAAAAAAACTAAATTTATACCATTGGAATATTAATACTAAAACACTAACCGTCCAAGTTCATCACTAACCGATCCTTTTGGATTTTTAATTCAAGGGTTGAGTTGGGCTTTAAAAACCTAATTTTCCGTAACCGAACAAAGCGAGCCATCACGGACTTAAAAGGTTGAGAATTAAATTAAAGGTTGAAAATTCAAAAAAAATATACTAATTAAATAGTTGAATTTGGAAGAATATATGATAAAATATTATAAAGTAGGTGCGAAAAGCAAGAAGATGCAGCAGCAAAGTGAACATAATTTAATATGATCTAATTTTCAACGTAAACTATGGGATGTTTTGATTGATTAATGATTTGTTTTTTCCTTTTTTATTTTAAATAAGGTTTATGGATGAGATTAGGAAGAAATATTTGAGAATTCGTGTCAATTTCAGTGGGCACCAAAGTCAACCAATGTACATAACTCTGATGACACAACCCACCAACCATAGGTCCCACATTTAATTCTCATATTTGACTATACAACCCACAAACATGTCCATCCACATGGTATCTATATATTAATTCTTTTACGCAATACTCACATAATAGTATTTTTTTAATTTAAACCAAAAATAATAATAATAATAATAAAAAGTTAAGTGCATCATTTTGTAACAAAGTCCGACCGCCAACTGATACTATTAGTTTTAGCCCAATGCATACAGCCAAATTTTTTATAAAAAAATTAAGGGTATTGTTTTGTAATAGCTCAAGTCCAGTGCTAATAAATATTTTGTCATTTTGACCCAATATATAGCCGTCGGGAGAGATTTCCACACTCTTATAAGAATGTTTCGTTTTCTCTCCGACCAATGTTGGATCTTACCACTCACCCTCTTAAGGACCCACAGCTCTAATACTATTTGTAAGAGCCCAATTTCTTCTTTCCAACCGGGATCTCACAACTCACCACTTGAGGACCCAGAGTTCTCTCACCACACTGTAGTATGTCAACTCTAATACTATTTGTAAGAGCTCAATTTCTTTTCTTGAGATCTCACAACTCATTCCATATTGTCCAGTGTCCACTCTAATACTACTTGTAACAGTCCAATTCCAGATATTGTCCACTAAGGATCGTTAGATATTGTTCACTATGGATCGTTAAATGTTGTCCACTATGGATTGTATCATCGTCACTTCGTAATTGAAAAGGTTTCCACACCCTTTGAATACTTCATTCCTCTCTCTTACTAAAATCATGTTTAAATTTTGGAGTTATTATTGAAAATTTTAAAAATTAAAAGGGTATTATTGAAACGTTTCAAATTAAAATGATTTTTTTTTTTATTTTATATAAAGGAGTTGGAGATAATTTTATTAATTTAACCTAAAAGAATAAAAAGAAAATACCTGAGCTATGGATCCTCCCAAGCCCATGCCCTCGAATAACTGATGAAAAGTAATGGCCGCCACTAGAGGCCTGATGGCTTTGGGAGTTTCGGAAACGCCCAAACCGATCCCAATAATTACCGAATGTACCACTATCCCCAGCTCGAGTACCTACACAAACACACCATTAAAATTAAACCAATTAAACAATTTCTGGTTTTCAATTCTCAAAATCTTCAATACGAACAATATCGATAGAGAAATCCGGTTACAATTTCTTCCGATTCTGTTTACCTGAGAGATCACGCGGTGCCGGAGAATCTCCGCCGGTGTTCCAGTGACATCAGAGGAGTCATGAGCGTGGCCATGACCACCGTGAGTATGAACAGGAATATGAGCGTCGATAGCTCTGCCGTTCATCTCATCAATCTCAGGCTGAGCTTTCTTCAGATGAAGGCGAGTATAATAAGAGCTAGCACCGGCATCCACCATTAAAGTACCAATAGCCGCCACCATAGCCACCAAGCCAGTGAACGGAAACTTCGCCCAGGGATCCTCTTTCAGTTTCGGCGATTTCAAACTCTCGTAAGCATCAGGAAGAACATGGATGAATCCGGTAGCCAAAATGACACCAGCGGCAAAGGCTTTAATAACAAAGAAAATCTCCTTCTCAGGACTCAAGGCAGGAATCACCTTACCGAGCATCGGAATAGAAACTCCGATTAATCCAGCGGCGAGAATCGTAGCTATGGCGACGATTTTGTATTTTAGGGCTAGCGGTTTGTTTCGGATTCCTTTGTTTTCTTCTTCTTCAGGACAGTGACAGTCTGTCTGTGCCGCAATCAGTGAAGGAATAAGCAGAAGAAACAGAACAAGAAAAACGAGAAGAAGAGGATGAAGCTTGAAGGTCGCCATTGCCATGGCCGATTAGAACGGTTATGGATTTAGGGCTTTTTTTTTCCTTTGTGTTGAAGAAGATGAATTACAGTTGGGATTTAAAGAGTTTGCTACGGACGTGCAAATTTCCATTTTCAGATATAGGCATTCAAAATAAATTATATTATTTTGCTAATGATATTTAATTAATTAATTAATTAATTAACTGTTTAATTAAAATGTTATTAATTGGCATGGCGAAAGGATGTCGACATGTGCTTAATTCACCGGCAATAGTGTCGAATGACTTGGAATAAATCGTTGAAGTCAAATTCAAATGTCGACATTTTTATGTAATTTTACCAAATTTCCAATTTTGCCCTCCATTTAATAATAATCTCCGCCATATTCTTCTTATTTTTTTTTCTTTTTCTTTTTTTCTAATTTTTTGAATTAGGGACTCTTTCACACGTTATCTAGTTAGACCAACTTTTTTTTTTTTTTTAATTATTATTATATTAAAATTTAGCAACATCTATTACTATTTTCATTTCGTCACTTGGATCACTCGTCGTTTATTCCTCATAAGTTAAGGATAACTCATCATTAGTTTGGTTCAATTTTGACTATTTTACACCAATTTGTCACCTCAATTTTGTTCACGTTGAATTTTTTCCCGTTCATACTCAAATTTATTCGTTTTTCTTTAGCTTTCTTTAATTTAAGGTTATTTTAGACATTTTCAATGAAATTCATGTAATGATTGTTGGATGATGAAAGTCCCACATCGGCTAATTTAGGAAATGATCATGGGTTTATAAGTGAGTAATACTAACTTTATTTGTATGAGGTCTTTTGGGAAGCTCAAAACATTAAGTGCATTTACAGAGGTAATTTTCCTATTATATTACCTTAGAGATAAGATAAATATTTAATAGATTTTCTTACCTAAGATACCCAACGTGTTTATAAATTATTACAAAGTTTAAATTATTAAATAAACAAAATTAAATTAAAAATAAAGGGTGCAAAGCATGAGGTTGGTAGCAAGGATGAATATTTTATTACATACTTTGGATAATAAAAAATAATTTTGAGCTTAATTGCAACAAATTTTATTATTTTCTAATTTTGTATATTTAATTCTTAAATAAAAGAATATATTATATTTTCTATCTTTATATTTTTGTATATTAATTAAGATATTATGAAGCCAAGTTTCATTATTTTTTAAATCCCAAATTATATAGTTTATCCTTTTCTAATTTTTAGCTAATATTTACCGATAATAAATTATATTTGAAATTGTCAAGAAATTGACTCGAACACATTAATTTAGAATATCGATCATTTTTTGTTATTGATATTAGATTTATCGAGCTCGTTGATAGTTGAGAATTGCGATACCGTGATTTTTAGTTATGCTCGTATGGATGGGTTGACATTATTTATTATTATTATTATTATTTTTGAGAAAAAATTAATTAACATAGACTTTATAATAATAAACATGAAATTAGTACATTGATGGTTATATAATTAATAGTATATTTTTAAATATAAAATAATGTTGTTGAATAATATAAATTAAATTAATAAATTAAGAATCTAATCTAATAATTTGGGATTGGAATTTAAGATGAAAATTTAAAATTTTATTTATTTTTATGAGGTAATAATTGAGGTATTTTTGTAATTGGCTGAAAAATTGAATAAATTTGGACCTATTAAACCAGCTGTCAAACTAATAGCTGGCACAAACAATAAGAGAGCTCCCTTGGAATTATATATATGTTAGAAATTTTTTTTTGGACCAATTCAAAAAAAATGACTCTCCACAATGATATGATATTGTCTACTTTGAGCATAAGCTCTCATGGCTTTGCTTTGGGCTTCCCAAAAGGTCTCATACCAATGGAGTTAGTATTCCTCACTTATAAACCCATGATCATTCCCTAAATTAGCCGATGTGGGACTTTCATCAGAGTTAGTATTCCTCACTTATAAACCCATGATCATTCCCTAAATTAGCCGATGTGGGACTTTCATCATCCAACATATTCCTCACTTATAAACCCATGATCATTCCCTAAATTAGCCGATGTGGGACTTTCATCATCCAACATCAAAGCCATGAGAGCTTATGCTTAAAGTGGAAAATATCATACAATTGTGGAGAGTCGTGTTCGTCTAACATGGTATCAGAGTCATGCCCTAAACTTAGTCGTGCCAATAGATTGGCAAATCCTCGAATGTCGAACAAAGGACTCCAAAAAGAAAAAAGGAGTCAAGCCTCCTCGAAGGTACGAAGGTAGTAAAAAATGACTAAAACTGCAAAGGAGTCGAGCCTCGATTAAGGGGAGACGTGCTTTGTTCGAGGGGAGGTGTTGGATGATGAAAGTCCCACATCTGCTAATTTAGAGAATGATCATGGGTTTATAAGTGAGGAATACTAACTCCATTGGTTTGAGGCTTTTTGAGAAGCCCAAAGCAAAGCTATGAGAGCTTGTGCTCAAAGTGGACAATATCATACCATTGTGGAGAGTCGTGTTCGTCTAACACATTGAATCAGTTTTTGTAGGTTGATCGGAGTTGACCTGAAAAGTTTGGAGATAATCTATGAGATGTAGATAGACAGTTTTCATCTCTATATGGACGGCAAGAATATCAGTTTTTGTAGGTTGATCGGAGTTGACCTGAAAAGTTTGGAGATAATCTATGAGATGTACATAGACAGTTTTCATCTCTATATGGACGGCAAGAATTTTTTAACTTTTTTTTTTATAAAGGTAAAAGCTTTCCTTTTAATTTAACCTTATTTTATTTTATTTTTTATTTTTTTGTATTTTTTTAGCATGATAAATTCTTCCCACATTTTTTAGGAAATAAACAACACAAAATATTATAATATTTCCATACATTTCACTTTATATTTAGTCAAAAATGCAATTATTAATTTTTTAAATAATTTAATATCTATAGGATGTATTTATTTGTGTGTTTTCATTTTAAAATTATTATCTTTATAATTTTAGAAAAAAAAATAAATTAAAATTTGAATTTGGTATCCCTTAAAATTTTAAATTCGATATTTATCTCGGGTTTCTATCAGTATTATTTTGGTCTCTTTCACCAATAATGGAAGCTGACATAATAATAATTTCTCGAAAATTTTAAATAATGTTATTTCTTTCTCGTCCGTTTCCTCCTTTCATCCATGGCTATCGTCACATCTTTTCTTTTTTCTCGTTCGTTTCTTCTTATTCTTTCTTCTTTTTCACTCGTCGTTTTCTCCTTAATTTTTATAATAAAAAATATTGTCACGTCTGTTGAAGATTATTGGGAGTGAGCCTCACATTCGCTGATTTAGAGAATGATCACGGTTTATAAGTGAGGAATAGGAGGTCTTTTCCGAGGCCCAAAGCAAAGCCATGAGAGCTGCTTAAGTGGAAAATATCATACCATTATGGAGAGTCATGATTTCTAACAACGTTAGCGTATTAGCTACAATAGTGAAAAAAAATGACGGGATTGATCAAAATAGTAACAAAATAGTAACAAATCTAAACTTAAATTCTTTTATAAAATTTTAATAAAATATATCTAAAACACTCTTTAATATTAGAGAAATAAATATATATATTAATTAAAAAAAGGTTTTTAATTAACTAAAAGAATATTTAAAATTAAATTACATATTTAGTTTTTTAATTAAAAAAATGCTTACTAAAACAGTAGAAAAGAAAAGCTTTGTGGCCATTGATTGGACGGTGAGAGAGTGAAACATGACAGACAGGTGAGCGGAGTGGAGTAGAGAAGGATAAAATTGGAATAAGCATGTGGCTTTTTATCCTCTACCAGCGGATCTAGACGTTATAGGCTGACATTGAATCATTAATAACAGTGAATTAATTGGTGTACACCAAAAATATTCTAAAGTGCACCAACCATTAAATTTATTCTCATACATTAAAATTTTAATCTAAGTTTCAATTTTTACATTATTTTCGTTCTCCACCGAAAAGGTGCTGTTCGGGATTGAATGGAAACCTCTTAATGGTTCGTGATTTATCTCAATACAGTATCTCATGAAAACTGTTTTAGTGGAACATAAGGGACGCGGCTCGAACATGAATCAACTGTGTGCCTATGTAGGTCAACCCTCTAAGGAAAAACGTCACTAATGTGAATCTGTTGAATATCCAAGTTGCTCAATCATCATATATAACATACTTAACAAAATAAAGTTATCCATGATCCAGCTTTTATGCTCGATCTCGTCTCTCCTTGGTCTCTAGCTACGAAAACAGGTAAATAAAGTGTTTTGTAAAGTATCGTTTTCATTTTTAGAGGATGATTATGTCATTAAAATAAATAAATAAATAAAAAGAGATTGATATTTAGAATTTAGATGAAGGATTTGAATAGAAAAAATTTTAAAAATAAGAAAATTTTTAAAAAAAATCTAGGGAGAGAGTATTGAAGATATTTTTCTAATTAAAAAATCTACCTTTTTGGACCATTGGCCACAATTTTCTCACGTGCCAACTAAACAATATATTACAGTTATATACAAGTTGGGTTGGGTTGAATTGAAAAAAAAGAATTGGACCAACTCGAAATTTTAGGTTGGTTGAGTTGGTGATCTGAGCAACTTGAATAGAATTGAAGTTGATAGTCCAAGTTTATCGAGTTATCGAGTCACGTCAGTGAATTTAGGCCTATTTTCTCAACCAAATTTTTATGGTTTAAGATTGGTAGTCCAAGTAAGTCAGGTTATCGAATCACGTCAGTGAATCTGGGCTCACACTTTACGACGGATGGATGTGGTTGCATTCTTTTAAGATGCTCAAAAGGAGTCTCCCATAAGTATAAGATTGTGTTGTTTATAGGATTCTATATTCCTTTGTAGATTAACATAGGACTTCAAAAGGAGAGAGCTTAGGTAAGCAAACCTCCTTTCAAGTATCCCACTAATCTAATGCTTTTCACAAATTCCCTTTCAATTCTCCTTTACAGAATGACCAAAAACAAAGAGAAAGATACATATAATAATATCAAACCATATTTATCACTCTTACAATACATACAAACAGGAAACCCCAAGCTTCAAAACTCTTCAATTACAATGATTCACAAACAAAAC